ATTGGAAATATTTCTCAGTAAGTTGAACTGGCAAGCAGTTAGCCATTGATGATTAAGTAGCTAGAAACTAAAGGTTTTTTCCTTTTTGCAATTACTGATTATAGCTTTTAGCTGTTTAACCCACCCATCATTAACTGTGCTGCTTAGGCAATATGCTATCTGACTCCCACTAGGTTCCTATAGATAATATCTCCCTGGAGCCTGAGTCATCATGGTCATGGGTATCTGAGCTGTTCTTCAGGAATTAGAACCCCTTTGTCCATTCCAGGCCAGTTGAGACCACCAACTCATCAACTGGGCCTGTGCAGATGTCCAATAGACAAACTTTTGACGTCAAGAGGCTGAAAACTCCACCCTCAGATCAGCTAACACTGCCATTTTGTGAGCATGCATCTATGAAGAGGCATGGAGTCTGACTACGCTTGTGCAAATCATCAATTACCTCATCTCTCCTCACCTCCAATCACCTATCTCCACATTTCAGATCACTTTGCCTGCCTATACCATAAATATCCCTGAGTCCTTGTTTTCAGGGAAGCAAATTTGAGGTTCATGCTCTCACTTCTCCACATGGCTGCCTTGTGATTAAAACCCTCTCTCTGCTGCAATCTCGTCATCTCAGTGTTTGGCTTTCCAGATGGTGGGCAAAAGTGAACCTGGTGCAGTAACAATTTGGTGAGCCAGCCAGGAGCTAAGTCCAGACAGACCTTTTTTCCTGAGATTTGTCAGCCCCTTGCCAGTGTGGAGAACCTGTGGACAAGTCCAGCAGTTGCCAGGAGCACTTCTCCTGGAACTGTTCTGGGATTTTTTTCCTGACTTGGTGCTGCAGACTCCTTGGCACAATTCTCACTTTGCAGTAAAGAGATAGTTTCTTGTTTTGGAAGACATCTTTTTGGTGAGTAACTTCAGTACAAGTGACCAGATTCTTAATTCTTCTTCCTTTGGTCTGACTTCCAAAAAGGAAGCCTTAGTTTGGCAGGGGACACCCTCTGCAACTTCTGACAAAGGAAGCCTTGGTCTGGGCTTCATTGTGAGGGTCTTGGTTTGGGGGAAGCTTGATATAAGGAATAATTAGAGGATCCACTCACAGAAGTTCTCTTAGCTTGACTTGGTTTGGTTTTGGTTCTAGCTGCAGCATAAGTATACTTTGACTAGCCATGTCTAAATTCTGAAACAATGAGTAATGCTAATTTGATTCCCACCTGCAGCCCCCTAGGCTGAATTATTCAAAATTGTGCAGCTTTCAGTTGTGAATCCATGAAAAAGAAAAAGATGGTATTTTTCTGTTACACCTGTGGCCACAATCAGAGAGCTCTTGCAATGACTAGTCTTAAGAACTTAATCAAATTTGGAATCTCAGCTTCTTCTCATGGTCTTACAGACACTGAAGAAAGCTCCACACACCACCCCCACCACTGGGGAGCTCTCCTCTGCCTGGTTTTGGAGAGTCCATGCTCCACCCCTGGGAGCTCTCCTCTGGTTTTGGGGCACCTGGAGTGATTCCAGGTTGGCCCCTCAGTCAGTCATTTGATTAACAATCTGGAACCCTGTTTCGTCTCCTGTCAAGAACTTGTTGAGTATTTTAGGTACCTACTGAGGCAGTTATGGAGACAGGAGATCTGTAATTTATTCTGTAAACTGTCTTGCCTGGGAACTGTTGTTTGTGTGACCCTCATCTTGATAACCCTTGGGAAGAGGCGGGGAAGGTTAGGCCCGATCACCTCTTTCTCTTCCTGTAAAATCAAAATTTGAAAACCTTCCTGCCAGGGATTTAACTCTTCCTGACAGGGACTTAACTCTCAACCCCACTTTTGGGAGCCCTAGCCTCCAGCCTGCTCCAGGCCTTTGCCTCTTGCTTCCCTGGTTCAACTTGTGCTGGCTCAGGGACTAAGTGCCCTGACTGACTAGAACTTGACTAAATCTTATAACTATATTGACACCTGCAGTAGGGCTCTGCACCCTTCTCCTGCCCATTGTCAGTTGGACACCAGCTTTACTGCCATAGGGAATGCCCCCAAACATCCCCAGAGACTCACCCCTTGGGTGCATTTTAATTAATTGGAAATACTTTCAATTTTGTATGGGTTATGCCCCAGAAACTCCATCTTGGAGAAAACTTGAGTGGTTTCTCTGCCATTATGATGTAGTTGGACAGGTAGATGAACCAATAATGTCATTTGAGTTACAACCCAATTTCTGAGAAATCAAGAGCAACTGTCCTTAGAAAATCCTTGTAAGACTAGAAATGCAGCTCTAGAGGCAGTTCAGGTTCCACTCATTTTCCTTATCTCAAAGAGCTTGCAAATCCTCTGGGGACTATCTAGTCCATCACTAATTCCTAAGACTGAAGGGAAAAAAACTAAGAAAAAGGCCAAAAAAAATGGCCACAAGAGTGCCCTCGCCAAAAATCTAGCATCCAAAGTATCTTCTCCACAAACATTGGCAAAAAGGCTCAAAACAGAACTTGTGTTCATAACTAGGGAGCTTTGTATTACTGCACCTGATTCATGGCAGTAATTTTTAAAACATTAGCTGTGGAGAATTTGTGTACATGTGTCTATATATATGTTATATGTGTGTGACATTTTTACCTCTGGATGGTATGGCCAAAAATTAAGAGCTCTGTTTAATTGGCTAAAAGTAAGTGCTTATGTAAATTGTAAATATAATAGAAACCAACCCTAATGTCTTTCAAGTTAACATGATATAAATTAATCTTTGATAACTGAAAATTTATTTAAGATTATTGGTTTAATTAAAATGGACATGTCCTCAGAGTCATCAGCATTGGATATGATGCAGACATACAGCCTGGGTTTGCTAGTCAAATAAGCCCATGTTATCCCTGTTACAAACTTATTGGCAAAATAATAGCTCAGAATGATAACTGATTTTCTCCAATGTCTCATGAAGTTTTGTAGGCAATCTAAATAATTATTGGATGAGTAAACAAAACAGAAGTGAAAAAGATAAAACTGTTGAGTGAACTTTTTAACAATAATTATGTCTTATGGCATGTCTATTTAAAATAACTTCCCAAACCTTTCTGGTAATTTGAAACTTTAAAGTTTTGCTACGTGAAATTGAATGATAAAAAACTCACTGACTATCTGGGTCATTTTTCAAATAAGATAAAATACTGAAACATTATCATTAGACCTGTCTAGGTTTATCTACTTTTGGCTTCTTATCACAAAGAGACCAAAAAATGTTTGGGTCTATTAGTAAACATGTCTTGTATCTTATTAAAAGATTGTACTATGAAGTAACATGTTTTTAGAAATTATAAAAGGTATTTATAAATATGCCAAATCACAGAATGCTAATGTAAAAGACAATTCATAATTGCTCAGTTTTTAGTTTTCACTAAGGTCTGTAAGGGTTGAAAATTCTAATTAATATGCGTAATTAAAGCTACTAAAAGTTAATAAAGAAAACATATTTGTATTCAAGGTGAGTAAGATGTAAGTTTTCAGTAAAGAAGATAGAAAGAATGGAGACATTTTCATTTGTTGGGTTAAGAAAGATAAATTTGTCCTAAAGTACTAGAAGAAAAAAAAATGACTCAAGGGACAAATTCTGAGTATAAGAAGAAAGTTATACATTTTTGAAAGAGAAATTCTGAAAGGTGTCTTATGCCTGGTCAAGCTGGCTAAGATTAAAGTAAATCCAATTAAGTAACTGAGTTTCAAGATCAAAAATAAGCTGATGCAAAAATTAAAATTTTGTTTTCTCTCTCAAAAGGATAATTTTCTCAAACTTTTGGTCTGCTCTTGACAAAGAAGTTATAAAGGGTTTTTCTTTATCTTTGAGTCAAGTCTACCTAAAAGACAGAAAATCTATGTTTTGTTAAAACAATTTTCTATGTTCAGAAAGAAAGAGGTCTCTCTTAAGATTTTTTGACTGTTTTAACTCTGTTTCCCCTTGATTGTTTCTGTTGTCACTTTGATTGAATAGAGTGAGCATTGGTCTCTATTTGACCAAGTGTTTTAAAACCTTTTGATATTTTTGACAAGCCCCCACCAAAAAAATATTCAAATCCTGAAGAAAGGCTTTCTTTTGAACTGGAAGAAGGAAGAGAATTTCTTTGAGGGTCTTCAGAGGGCCTCTGAGACTTCTCAGGGAAATTTGCTCTCTCTTCCTATATGGAGGCAGGTACTAAATTTATTAGGCTTACTTGGTATGTTAAATTACATGGGAAGCATTGTCAAATAAATGATGATAAACCTTCTTAGGCGGTATTATATGGATAAATGTTATTGATGTAAATGGTTTAAACTTATATAACATTCCCAAAATTCTGATCTTTCCTGGTTGTCAGCCATAATTCTAGTTATTATCTTGAAATGTTGTATGTCACAGAAGTAACAAAGTTTGTTAACTGCCGTTTTGAATCTTTTGTCACTTGGAGATAGTTTCTGTTTTACTCTGATGCCTTTTGCTTTTGCAAATATGTTTTGTCTTCAGAGAGATTTATGGAAAGGATCCCAACACTTACTCTAGAATATAGGCTACTGATAAACTTTCAGATTATAAAACTGAACTGGGTAAGAAATTAAAGAACTCAGAGAAACTGACGACCTCATAAAACTGCCAACAGAAGATGAAGATCAAGAATCTATTACACAGGGCTGAATGAACTGATGACAATGATTATAATTTATATGGCTTCTCATTTGAGATATTGCTGATTATTTTTTATGTTCTGTTTTGTTACCAGATTTAAGAAAGTCTTTTTCTCTTTTTCTCTCATTCTAACTATGCCTTATATCAACTTGATAAATTATGCTTTGTAAGCAGATTTGAAACATTTATTTATTTTTCTCCCTACCTGATCCCCCCAGGATTTGGAAACTCTTAGTGAGTGAGTATTGTTTTTATGTCAATATAGGTATTTGCATAAGTTCAATAAACATCTATTTGCCTTGTAACAGGACACAATTGGAAACATTGGTTATATTACCAAATGCTTGACTGGAATGACATATTTGAGAGAAACATACAGACTCAGATATGACAAGACAGCTTTTGAGGAATAAAGGTTGACTTTCTGGAATAAAGCCTCTTGGAAATATTGGCCTGGTACCTTGTTTCCAGGGATTCCAGCAATCTTGCCTGGTAAGTCACGAAGTTCAGTTATCTGGCAGGTGGCTGGAACCTTGAAATATTTTGGGGGACCTCAAGAAGAAAAGAGAGGAATCCACCCAAATCTGTAGATATTGCAAGTGAAATCTGATGGCAAGTCCTTGGCTTGGCTTTCCTGGGCCTGAGAGGCCTTTAAAGGTCAATCTAAGATTCCTCATAAAAAGTTCCACAAAGCAGATTTAAAAGAGCATAATTGATCAAAGGCTATTCTTGCTATACTTATGTAAATAGTTAGGCCAAGTTTATTGAAATTAAACATTTTGCAAAGCAATTAGTTTTAATTTGGCTATCTTTTATAAAAATGAGGGTGATTTTAGAGGGAAAAATTATGTTTCAATAAAAACTATGATACATGTTCACAGATATTAGGTTCTAGTTCTGATAATTGTGTTTGAGGATTTTATTTTATATTTGTTAACTGGTTTGGATCCTGCATTCTTCTAGTCTCTTGAAATATCTGGCTACCAATCTCCAAACTAATGTTTTCAATTTTTTCCCATCATTCTCATTTGGAATCATTGAGAATTGAACCTGCCCTTTTTCCCGAAGCCTCGCAAACTGACACTGGACAATGTGTCTGTTGCTGTGTAAGCCACTCAGAAAGATACCTGAACACCTGATGACATCATCAGAGACATTTCAAACTGCAAAAGATGCTTCAACTCTAACATCTAGAAATCTTTTTGACTGGCTGTGGCCATGGTTCAAAAAGGTTTATAATTTGTTGGTTTATAATTTGCTCCCACCACTAACCTTGTTTTCCTTTTTGTCTTTCTAGAAATACATATTAAATACCTGCTTACTTGCTTACACAATATACGCCTAATTTTGGGAGCCCACCTGCACCACGTCTTACTAAGAGACTGACTCAATGAGATGGAACAACCTATGCCCCTCATCAACAGAATATCCCTCAAGATTGAGGATGAACAACAAAAGGGGGAACTGATACCAGCTCAACACAAAGTTGACATAAGGGAATCCATATTAGAAAATAAACCATACTGTCACTTTGAATGACCTCTGATTAACTAACCCAGACATGCTCTGTAGATTTTATGGTCCCTCTCATCTGCTATAAGTTGTTAGCTTTGTTCTTTTGAGTTCATTAGAAATGTGGTTACCCCCAGGCAGAGAGTCTATGCTGATAGCCATCATCAGTGACACCTGAAAGCTCAGGGTATAGGGCACTGCTGCAGTCTCTGATGCACATCCAGTAAAACAATCTCTTCTACCAGGTTTACAGAGGTAACTTCACAGGCTTCTCCTGTGCCTGCCATTTCTCAAAAACAGCCAGCTACAAGCAATCCTTATGCCACAGAGGCATATTTTGGGATGGCATATTCTGCTACTCTTCATGACATTCTGATAACAAGGTGGCCCAGTGAGAAACTCAACCAAGATGGCTTAGCTAGGGGCCGCCCTTGAAGAAATATGTTGACAGAAAACACATTCAAGGATCTTAGTTTATGCATAAATTGCACCTTCCATCAGATACTCTTTTACCTCTCAGTGAAGGTCGCACAGTTCACAACTCCAGAGGTGGTTTTTCCCACTGAAGTTCCCATAAAAGATAGCCTAGCCATTCAGGGACTTTCCCCCAGAAGTTTGTCGGGAAGTGAGTTTAGGAGCCAGATCTCTGGTTGTCTCCTTATAACTCCAGATAACTCCTCTCTGGGGTTACCTCTCCGCAGGGCCTTGCAATGCCTTTGTGCCCAGAAGTCAGTCTTTGATGTTTAGCACCTTTGCTCCACACTAGTCTCAGACTGAACCCAGGTGTTCTAGATGAGAAGATACAGGAAAAGGTTCACGTAATAAGGCTGCCCCCTCACCCACATGACCACTGACAATCAGTTGGAACATGGTACAGCTACTCCTTTCTCCACTGCTGCAGACTTCTTGGTTCTGAGAAAAGGGGAAGGACATAGATTCTCTGCTCTTCAGATTCGTATACTGATCCCCACTATGACCAGTGACAGGAGTGTTTGATCTAAATAAGGTAAGTTAGAAGAATCGGTGCTGAGTATGCTTGGGAGAAAAGGCCAGGAAGACTTGAAGGGGCTTGATTGAACCTCTGGGTGGTAGAGTTAAGAATGGAACATGACTGGGCCAGCGCTGGTGGCCTAGTGGTTAAATTCAGCCTGCTCCACTTTAGCAGCCTGGGTTCAGTTCCTGGATGTGGACATACACTTTCTGTTAGCAGCCATGCTGTACTGGCAGCCCACATACTAAAAAAATAGAGGAAGATTGGCATGGATGTTAGTGAGTCTTCCTCAGCAAAAAAAAAAAAAAAAAAAAAGCAAAAAGAATAGAACATGATTCAACTTGTAGGAAGCAAAGCGCTGAATTCAACTCAGGATTAATTTCACGGATACAATCCCTTCTCCCCTGCCACTCCCCAACTCCCTCACTAGACTTCCTCCCCAATCTTCCCAAGCGTAATACACTGAAGCAGCTTGAATCCTCATCTTCTCATCCTGTTTAAGCCTTTTGGACCAGGGATAGGGTGCCAGAAATGAGAAAGTGCCTACCCTTTGAGCTGTGCCTGATGTAGCACTTGACACCCTCAGAAGTGCTCTCACACACATATCTCACTAGACTCTAGTCTGTGAGGAAGCTATTATTAGCCCCATTTGAGGACACCAATGCTCAGAGAGTTGAGAATCAGGTTGGAGGTCCAGTAGGGCCAGTCCACTCCTTACGGTAAATGAGGACAGAGAGCTGGTTTAAAAGGAAGACTTTTTCAAACAAATCCATGCTCTAACGTTTGACCAGAGTAGCTCCTGTGAGGGCAGTTTCAATCTTGGTGCTTGAGCAATATTTCAAAACTGGAGTTCCTTTATGATGACATTCTAAATGACAAATCAAGATCATTTATTATGATGGTAATTAAGGAAATGGCCTCTGAGAAGGGGTGTGCATAGTCAGAAGTGCTAAGTGTTTCACACAGGCTTTGGGGAAGTGTTATAAGGAAGTCAAGATCAGATAAGCACCATCTTGCAGAGTCAGTGTAACTGCAGCCTGGGATTTTGGGGAACCAAAGACTTCCCGTTTGGAAAAAATCTCCCAAGTCTTTATTCATCGTCTACATTCCTTTGAAAGGTGACAACCCTTTCCACTCACAAACACGAAGCTTCAAGTAGCATTCTCTTTTGGATACACGGTCTTCTGAGAACTGACCTGGACTATAAAACAGAGCTAGCTAGAGGGTGACTGGTTCCTCAGTTTGGGTGGAAGAGAAGGTGGACAGGAGGTGTATGGAATTCTGAAAATAAACTTCATCTGTTTATTACAATTTTGTGTTTGTCTCAGTCAGGTTTTGGTATGTTTTCAGTTCTTTTAACCCTTCTTATCTACCACACAGTTTCTTGATATTGTAACCTTGCCTATGTTGTTTCTCTGCCTGGAATATTCTCTTGTCCTCATTCACTTGATTTACTTTTACCTTTTTTTTTTAAGATTCAGCTTATCTCGCATCTCTGACTAACCGAGGAATTTTTCTGATATTGCCTCTCCTTATACCTACCTAAGCCAAATGATATTCCCTTCCCTAAATAAATTAAATCGTTTCAATGTGTGTGACATTTATATGTTATGTGTGCTAAGTATATGTTGTGTGATTGGTATAGGTGTTATAGGTGTATGTGATATAGATTATGCTTGGATGTGATTTGTGCTGTTTGTAGGTTTAAGGTGTGCACTATATGTGTGTGTCTAATGTGTGTAATATGCCTACGTGTATGATGACTGTAAAAGTTTATGGGCTAAGCTGGGGAAAAGTTGTGACCTAGGCATTGATTGTGGTGACATGCTGAGTTCCACCCAGGTTGAAGGGCGTGGGCAGAGCTGACTAGGTATAAAATATGTAGCATTTTCCTTGCTCATGGTAGATGCTCAGTCAATACCTGTTTTCTTCCCTTCCAATCCTTTGGCTGGTACTTTAATTTGGACTTTGATAAAACAAACAAGACCAGTGCCCATGGATCATCTCCTCTCCTTGGCTCCAGAAGATGGGAATTTCTAATATAAAAATACAGTAGCTGTCATCTGTATAGAAGCTATAAATTCCCAGGATTAAAAAGGACTTTCTCTATCAGCCACAGACTGACAGAGGTCCCTACTAGAGTCATTCATTAAGAATGTCTCTAAGTAGGCTAATGCATTTTAGATGGGTTAAGGCATTACCTTTCCTGAGGAATAACACATTAAGTAGAAGATATTAGTACAAATGAGTTTATCTGATAATAGCTGTTTTCACTTAGCAAAGAAATAGGGTGGGGTTAGACATCTTTAAAATGCAACTCTCCTCAAGAATGGAGCTTAAGATAAATTTTGTAAGAGGGAAGGGCAAGTAAATTGGAGATGGAAATGTTGAGGACACAGGTTCACAGAGTCCGTGAGAATTCTGTTTGCTAAGTGCAGGAGAGAGTTACAGAGTAAGAGAAACATTCGCTTCACACAATTTGCCTAGTGCAGGGATGAGGAGAAAGAAATACTAAACATTAAAGTACCTTGTGCTTCTCAGCCTCCTGCCTTGTTGAATGACTCCAGCCTTGAAACAATTCGAGAAAAGACCAAGGTATCATCATTTTCAATTAAGTGACTGCACACCTTCCTAGAACTCTGACCTCAATGAGTAACCAAAAATCTAGGTTGGTCATTATGTTTCAGGGGCAGCTCCGTAGCTTTGCAAGTTTTCAGTACACCTGGGAATGAATAGACACCTGGGAGATGATGACCTATACCAACCAAACTCACAAGACATTAATGTTAAATCAGTAGTTCTTCATCAAAGATCAATTTACACATAGGGAATACTGATATTTTTTCTCACATTAACTACCGCTTCAAAATGTAGTGTAGGACAGGAAAAAAATCTTTTTCTTCTACCCTTCCAGGTTCTAGAGCAGAGAGTGGGAAAGGGTGAGACAGCAAATTTAAAGTTTTCTAACTGAATTTATTTTCAATTATACCAATTTTGGTATAATCGTAATTTAACAATTATAATAGAATGCAATGAGTATTAGTGGAGTCTGAACAGATTAAGGCTGGACAGTTGTTCTGTGCCTAGAGAGGGGGAGAAGGTAGAGGGAAAGCCCAGAAGAGAAGACATTTGAGCACAGCCTTGCAAGATGGGTAGGAAACCAAGCTGACTAGGTTAGAAAGGCTATTCCAGGAAAAGGAAATAACACCTGTAAAAGTATGAAGTGTTAAAGTATAATTTTTTCTAAATGTTAAAAATGTGACTATCATGAAAGTTTTAAAAAATGAACCCATGATATTGAATAAACTCATAAATAAATCCATTTTATTCAACTCATTCAGTAATGAGGAAATCAGTAACATGTTAAAACCATTTCCAATGTAATTTTGGTTTACAGAAATTTATATCCTCTGCCAGGCAAAACTCGTTTGCATTGCTATGAACAGCAAACATCTGGGTTGTTATCAGTTTTGTATGATTTCATTTCTACCCTGCAAGTTGATCAAAGGTATGCTCCTTGGTAGTGTCTGTTTATCCCCAGTGGGTCTGCAAGACAACATCCATGAAGGGACATCTGGTAATCTCTTTTGTCTATTTCCAAGTCTTGGACAATTTTTCCCTTCAGATGGCATGGAAACCTTATGACTTGTGCCGGAAATTATACAGAGCTTCTCATAACTGGTGTGGAAAGGAAGAAAGGCATTGTAAGAAATAGTATGATGTAACAATTAGACAAAAAAAAATGGTATCACATGCTCAAGTTAGTCAAAGGGCTAAGGATTGGGGCCATTTTGAGTTTCAGGCCTTCAGCTCTGCAGAAACAAGAAAATTAAACCTCACAAAGGAACCTAGAACTCATCACTTAGCATCAGCCTCTGACTCACTGTTCTGGCCACTCATTGGTCAGATGCCTGACACAGAAATACCTCAGCAACCATGGAAGAGGGAGTGTTCTAAGAGGTCTGAATATGGTTCATAATTGTTATAAATAAGTAACTGTTTGGTTAAAGATATTAATCTTCTGTTACTTCAG